GAAACACATCTACCCACTTAACATCGTTACACCGGTATTCGCAATATTTCGGTTTCATCAAACCGGTATCGGAATAGTAACCTAAAATTACCGGTATTTTTCCGGTATCCGTAATACCGGATTCGGTCTCTGAGAAAAACAACGAAAACTTGGCGATTAAGGGTACCGTTCTGTTTCCGACAGCTGCGATATCTACAAACGCTGAGCAATATATCCGCGGAGAAGAACTCGACCATCATCTTCCCCCTGCCAGTGGAATTACTGGCTCCGTTCTTCAACAACAAGCTGCACGCGAACGGGAATCAAGAAGCCGTCAACGGAGCAACTCGGCACGAAGCGGCTGAAGGCCCGACCAGACATTCATTAGGACATTGACAGGCGTATCAAAGCGAAGAGATACACGTATATATATATATATATATATATATATATATATGCATGTATATCAAACTTTGGATTATCCTCGGCAGATTTCACAAGGTTTCGGAACAGCATGTCGGATTAATTGCGTGACCTTTGATCGAATCCGACGGCAAGCAGATACACTTGATTGGAAACCGATACGTGAGCATACGCGAAACTCGACGCGTTTGCTTATCGTCAAAGCGCCTCACGCCCTTCGGCCAAATTACCTGTTTTCGTCTCGGGCGATATCCATCCGTACGTTGAAAGGGACCGGCGTCGGGAACCGCGTCATCGCAAACTCGCGGTCAGCTCGCTGAATAAATAGATAATCGTGTAATTCGTCACTCGGCTTCTGTTTGATTTCCAACGACGCGCGTTCCCACGCGACCGGAAGAAAATACATAGGGCAGCGTTTCAACTGTCGGAATGTCTGCCGAGGTTGACGTACAAGTGGAAGAAAAAAGTCGGACGAAACAACTTGACAAAATGACTGATCAACGATACATAACGTGTAATAACGAAATTTATTGATAAAAATGTTTTAATTATTTTAATTGAAAAATAATGTATTAATTATTTATTGACAAAAATGAAATATGCGGATGTCAAATGTATGAAATATTATAAATATAGGGTGTGACTGTAAGTCGAAAATAGAAGGAATAAAATTTTTTCGTATGACGCTTCGTTTTTTTTTTTTTTTTTTTGAGAAAACCGAGTTTGAAAAGCCAGGAGGTCTTATGTAGAATAAAATATGTGGATGTGGAATATATAAAATATTATAGATATAATAAATATGACTCTACGTGTGAAAATAAGTCGAAAGAGAAAGAGAGTAAAACTTTTTCATGTGACGTTCTCGAGAAAATCGAATTTAAAAAATAGGAGAGCAAAAAATAAGTAAAATTTTGTTTATTTCTAGCTTTCATTTTTAAGAAAATAGACTGTTTCGTTAGAAGTTGCCTTTTAAAAAGTAAATTTTCAAAAAACGAAACATTCTATTAAAAACATCTTACTCTACACTTCTCATTTTCACACGTGAAATAACCTTTTGCTAATTATTCTCTCCTATCGAACCTAACCTAAACCTAATCTTTCGTTTTTATGTGTGAAGTTGTGTTACGTAACCTTTAAACCTAACCTAGTGTAACCACTAAGCCTAACCTAAACTTAACCTTCTGTTAATTATTCTCTTAATTATTCTTTTCTATCTAGAATTAGCTAACTTCAAGTAGGCATTTTTGACAACCCCTAAGCTTAAATTAAACCTAATTTAAACTCAACATTCTTAATTACTCTCTCCTATCTAAAGTTCTTTTCTGTCTAGAATTAATTAGATTTAAGTAGATATTTTTGAGGTGTTTCTGATGAACTCCTAAACCTAATCTACATCTAACCTAAACATAAGCTTTTGTTAATTATTCTCTTTTATCTAGAATTAGCCAAATTCAAGTAGATATGTTTGACAACTCCTAAACTTAACCTAAACCTAACTTAAACTTAACTTTCTGTTAATTATTCCTATCTAAAGTTCTCCTATCTAAAGTTCTCTCCTGCCTAGAATTAACTAAATTCAAGCAGATATTTTTGAGGTATTTTTGATAAACTTCTAAACCTAACCTATATCTAACCTAAACTTAACCTTCTGTTAATTATTCTCTTCTATCTCGAATTAGCCAAATTCAAGTAGATATCTTTGACAACCCCTAAACTTAACCTAAACCTAACTTAAACTTAACTTTCTGTCAATTATTCTCTCCTATCTAAAGTTCTCTCCTGCCTAGAATTAACTAAATTCAAGCAGATATTTTTGATAAACTTCTAAACCTAACCTACATCCAACCTAAACTTAACCTTCTGTTAATTATTCTCTTCTATCTAGAATTAGCCAAATTCAAGTGTAACCGATAAATTTCTAAACTCGAAAACGAAGTGTATTTTGTAGAAACGTGTAACGTTCATTGTAGAATCACAGCCTGATCGATTGTACCGCGATTTCGAGAGCATCGAGTGTACATGTAAATTCATCGTTGCAGCGGCAACATCTTTGTCTGCGCGAAACATGATTCGCCACGATTGCCGAGGAACGGTCGGAGAAATGTGCCGGTTAATCGTAGTACACACGCGAACGTTGCGCGTTAAATTTTGTTCATCGCATACTCCCGCAAGCTGAATATTAATTTGCAAATAGCTTTCGCGGACCAAGATTAAATTATTTCTACAGAGTGCACGTGGTTCCGTGAGCGCATCAACGAGCGCCTCTCCTCGGAAGGTTTAATTTCCGTTTGCGGCACATTTCGTTAGATCTGTCGAGGATCGAGGATGGAGTCGGGTAAATGCGTAAATAAATACCGTCGGCATCGATTCGGCAATTTAAAGGTTACGAAGGCGAGCGTTTTTAGGGGCATTTAAAAAAGCTCAATTCTCGTTTCGATATTTCTTTCAATTTACGTTAATTTCTGAATGTCGACAGCGATGAAATTAATGAAATACAATGATAATTCCAGTCGAAAGGTTAGACATATTACAAAAATATCGAAATTTCTTTCATATATATATCTCTTCCTGGATTAGATATTATACTTCCCATTAACAGTTATGATACACAGTCTATTGAAAAAAGGAAAAAAAAAGATGCCAAATAGAATGAAGAGAATTAGAAAATTTTTTTAGATTTAACAAGTCTCGAAAGTTCCACTTTCTAACAAGTATATTCTCAAGTATTCTCATTTCTCTTTGTGTAATAACGCAAAAATCATTTCCTTCTTTGTCTCACTCTTCAAGATATTACTGTTTCTTGAAGTCATCCGCGTTCTTTCTATTCGACACAACCTCGAGTCTCTAGTGAAACTGAGTAATTGTATAATATTATACAAATATACATATTAAATAAATATTAACTTGAAATTAACATATCATTAACATATGTTTTATAAATTTATTATACACATAATATCGAAACCACTACATCATTCACCGTGTGATTGAATTCGTATTGACACGATAAACGAAAAAAAACAAAAAAAGAATGGCATATAAAAAATTAAAGATCACCTTAATTTCATGAAAAATATCGCAACACCGCTGTATTGGACATAGTAAACGATACAACTTTGCCCATTTTTCCTTCTCTACCATTACCGCTGGATAAAAATAACGCGAACACCCTGTGTATACATAAACCTTCACACCAACCTGTTCATTTTCGCTATTATTTTAATTTCGAAAAATTTCACACGACTTCAATTTCGCGATAAACTCTCATTTAAATGTAATAACCACCGTGAATCATATTTCATTTCTAATAAAGGTGCCCTCTGTCGCGTCGCGTGTCCCAGCCGTCCAGCGGAAGGCTGAACTCGCGGTAAAGTGGAACGTACGTGACGCGTTCGGCATGCTCTTTATGAAAACGGAAATCGCGCGAGTTCGTACGTCGAAACGATAACACCACGGCCTCCCAGTATATATAATTTCGAGTCGCTCGGCGAAACAACAAGTTCTGGGGAGGGAGAAATGTGGCTGGGGAAACGCGAAGTGTGGGCCTCCTCGAGTATAGGCTGTTGGGAAAACGTCCGTGCAGGACCCACTTAAACATCGCCGGGCCGCGATAAAAATAATTAAACTCGTGTCAAAAACAACCGCGCGCGTTAAACGGTGCACGACGGACGGGAAGCGGCGAACAGAAAGCACAAATTTCAATTTTATTACGCCTGGAGTGAGACAGGATATGTTCCCTCTTTTTTCTTTTTTTTTTTTTTTTTCAAGCAAAAGAAAGTATCACCCCCTCCCCCTTCCCTCCCCCCTCCAGCGCGCGTAATGTATGTAAAATGTTTTATAAACAACGCGGCCGGAGCTCCAACCATGGGGGACTGTTATTTACGCGGGAAATTCTTCCGTGAATTATGACGCTTGTTAAGCGTGGCACGACACGCGAGTCCGGCCAGGATTAAAGAGCCTCCGCACCAGAGCACGGTGGAAACTATGTACGGCAGTACGTTAAAAAAAAGAAAAAAAAAGGGGGGGGGGCGAAAAAGAAAAAGAAAGAGAGTAACTCGTCGCGAACGCGCGCGGGGATTATCGCGTCGGCTAGGAACTCGATAAACCACTGCCCAAGGAGTGATCTCGCGTTCCACATCGTTTCGAGAGCAATTACAACACGGGCCGCTTTTCGCCGTATCTAGCCGACGACTATCTACCGGTCGCGATATGTACGTACGTATATATATCGCTAGGCGGCTCGTCGAGTTGCAAGAACCCGGCGATTAATCGTGGAACGTCGGGCGGTAATTGCCGAAACCGAGCTACTTTCGCGTGCCGCTGCGCGTTTCATATTTGGAGGGAACTAACATTGGAGGATCGTAATTAATAAACAGGGCCCCGGCCCACGGGATATTAATTCCTTCGGCTCAAATATTTGCCGACGAAATTAATTCGTACGCTCCGCAGCGAGATGTCACACGGACACGCGTAATCCGGCCGGAAGTGATAACCTTTCGGCTGGAGATACACGGCAATTAAGCTTGCAAACCGTGGCGGGGACGTTCCCTTCTACTTATCTCGCGAAAATTATTCGACATTCGTGCGACGATCTCAAATTGGTTTTAAATTCGCTCGCGTTTGCCAAAATTCTAATACGAGGAGCGTGGAGAGTTCGTACGAATTGCGTGTTGCGGCAGGACAATGTGAAACGCGATTGAGGAGTCCGGTGCGAGAGCCTAACCTGTTATACGATATAATGCTGACGTTCTGAGATATGATAAAAGTTGTGTTTCGTTAGAAATTCCATAGTTACATTTTTTTTTCTTTTTTTTTTTTTTAATCTTAACTCGTTAACACAGAAATAGTGTCTCTAGAAAAATTTTCTGTTTTTTCTTGTGCGTGTTTGAATATATAAAAATCGAATTAAACAATTTACTTGTATGTGTATTTTAGTTGAATCTGTGTTCCAAAAATTAAAAGTATTTTATTTTATCAATCTTAATTTTTGTTTCTCTTTCTCTCTCTCTCTCTCTCAAGATATATATATATATCTTGTGAGCTACATTTGAGTTCTTTATAAAAATCGTAGAATACTATGATTTTTATTGATAGAGAGAGATAACGCGTGGCTTGGCTCCCTCTTGCACTGAAATTATTACATTTGTATATAGTATTTTATATAGATGCAAAATATTTTGCCACGGAATTATAAACAAAGAGATAATAACTAGGCATTACATTTATAATTATATTAATAAGTATATATATATATATATATATATATATATATATATATATATATATATATATATATATATATATATATATATATATATATNATATATATATATATAAATAAATATATATATATATATATATATATATATATATATATATATATATATATATATATATACACTTATTAATATGTATATATATATATATATAAATATATATAAATACGTATTATATTAATGCGTACATTTATAATATAAATATAACATATTAGTATAATTAGTAATAATTATACTAGTATATCTATAAATACGTATTA